GATGGTTATTTAAGTTAGATGTCAACATGCTGACTGAGATATGATAGTCGTTTGAGATTTTGGAATCAAATTTTATCATATCACAATCAACAAGTTAATGTTCAGCTCAGAATATCGTCTATTTTAATATAAAATTACGACTTTGGAACATAATGAATAGTCGGGTGGTCATTTTGTAACTTTTAATAGTCAAGGGACTTAACAAAGAAATATTCTATAGTCGAATGACCATATTGTAACTTTTAACAATTGAGGAACTTAATAAAATAATACTCTCTATTTAGGGATCATTTGAGTTCTTTACCCAAAATTTTAATATTAAATTTTATTAAAATATTTTAAATTAGAATTAAATTGACAGAAGATATAAGTTTTAGTAATTAAAATGATTATTATATCATTCTAGGTCAAATTTTTCGTTAAATCAACGATTGACAACAATGTTAAGTGACCAAAATAAAAAAATATATATATAACGTTAAGCATAAATTATTAGAAAATAATTAAAATATGAAAATTATACTACGGTGTAAATAACTTTTTTTAGTACAAGATAGTACTCTTCAAAGATAACTTAATTGTTTGACATTAAACGTTCACACTCATAATATTCTTAGTGCTCGAACTCGAGACCTAAAGAAATAACAATAATTTATTTACCACTGAATTGCTCGATTCGTGACGGTTTAAATAACCTAACTTGTTTAAAAATGAGATCAATTTTCACCTTCTACATATTTATATTAAATATTACCACTAGTTAATTTTTCCAACTAGACCACTTGATATACAAAATTTTCCTTACCAAATTCTCAATTATATTATATTGTTTGAAAGTAATTGGTTTATTAGGCACAACTAACCAACATTTCATAGTCAAAACGTAAACACTATATATATTGCCTATAATCTACGTAAACTTTTCATTTTTCATTGCGTCTACCATGGCGGAGCTCCTCCTAAAACTCCCTCCGCCGCCGTCTTCCTCCTCACGGTTCTCTCGTTAACTTCCTCCTTCGCCGCCTTGGAATCAAAGCCTTTCTCTCGAAGCCTCTCCCCATTGACCCTGGGGATAAACAAACCAGAGAAACTGAGCCACCTCCATTTCTACTTCCACGACATCGTCGCCGGCAAAAACGCCACTGCTGTCCGCGTGGCCAAGGCGAAAACGACTTCCGCGTCGTCGCCGTTCGGTGCTGTGGTGGTGATAGACGACCCGTTGACGGTCGGCCCCGATATAGGGTCCAAACTCGTGGTAAGAGCTCAAGGGATTTATGCTTTAACGTCACAGCAGAAAGTAGCTTGTTGATGGCGTATAACTTCGCTTTCATAGAAGGGAAATACAATGGAAGCAGCCTCACCGTTATGGGGCGGAACCCGGTGTTTTCAGCCGTCAGAGAGATGCCGGTGATCGGTGGCAGTGGGGTTTTCCGGCTCGCTAGTGGATATGTCGAAGCAAGGACTCATTCATTTGATCTCAAGACTGGCAACGCTTGTGTTGAATATGATGTTTATGTTTTCCATTATTAGTGACTTATTTTCTTCTCTTTTAGAGGTCTAATTATACTTTTAGTCCCTCTACTATGTTAAATTTGAAATTTATCCCTTTTAATTCGATACAATTTATTTAGTGATTAAGAGATTTGTTGTTATCCCTTTAAGTCTAAAATTCGAGCACCAACGCGTATGCAGATATATAAACATTTATTATCAAATGTCTGAGTCTTTGAATAGTTATTATCTTGTATTTTTTCCCATATTTATCAACAACAAAAAAATCTAAATCGATAAAAGTTGACATTATTGTTACTCTTAATCGGTGTTAGTTAGTGAACGAACCAAGTTAATTTTATGGTAAATGATTGTTGTTATTTTTTAAGGACTCGAGTTCGAGTACATTGAATGTTAGGGGTGTGAACCTTTAATGTTAAAAGGTTTGACTTTTTTGGATAAACTACGCATTTAGGGGTTGTTTGTTTGCCTCTTAATGGAATAATTCGGCGCGTTTGTTTCGCACCTCTGAATGATTCAGTGCTGACTGATTCAACAAAACAGTGTTGAATGATTCAGCACAAAAGTACATTCTGAATGACTCAGAGCCATTATCAAACAGCATGTCACATTCAGAGTTAATTCATACAGAGCCTCTGAATCATTCAGCGCTTAATCATTCTGAAGTAGACAAAAACCCCTTAATATCTAAATTATTAGTTTTGGCTTGTTTTAATATTAAACTTTTAAAAGTTCCAAAATCATACATAATATTTAGTTGTTGTTTAATTTTAGTATTCATCGTTAAAAACTTAATGCATTTAGTACAATTTTGATCCGTTTTAATACCTAAACTTTTATTTTTTTTATTTGCAAATGAGTCAGAACATCAGCTAAATTCTTCGTTTTACTCCAATCAAATTAATCGAATCATCATTATTTTAGTTAAATTGTATAAGCAATCAATTTAATTCAAGTCTAACAATGATGAATGAGACTAATAATTTAATTACATTACTCCAAAGTCCAAGCTCTCAATTTGTTTCTTTGTAAACAACAACAACAACAGAAAGGTAATAAACATGGTTGATGAAGCGTACTAAAACCAGATTTTATACACGGATTAGTTCAAGTATTAAACAACTTTATACTGTTTAAGTAAGTCTAAAGTCTAAATCATTGTGAAATCAGAAAATTTCCACTGAGAGACCTCACACACCAAAATTAAGTGTGCAATTCGGGTCTGTCAGGATTAATCAAGACGAAACCTTGAAAACCGACAGGACAAAAAAACACGAGAGTTTTATATAAATTATTGATTTTCTTTTTAAAAAATTGAAATACCAAAGTTATAGGTGATCCACTCACTCTCACAATCTATTCTTTCAATTTTTAAAGAAAGGGTCAAATGTAGTCCCTTTGACTTTTTAATTAAACTTTAATTAATTTTCGAAACCAAATAATTTATTTTTTAGAATTAACTACTCGAGATCTATTTTCATAAAATGAATAGGTCTTTCATCTAATAAATTTATATTATAATATATTTTATAAAAATAAATTAATCAAGATATATTAAATTAAAGATTAAAAACAATGCGATAACTACATCATTATTTTTTATTAATCTGGGTAAGTACAAGATGATATACGTTCAAGGATAACTCTCAACCATCTGACATCACATGCTCACACCCCTGACATTTAAGGTGCTCGAACTCGGGACTTTAAAGAATAACAACAATTCTTTTATCGTTGAAGTATCTCGGTTCGTGCTACATTATTCAACTTGTAAATATGAAATATATGTAAACATGTAAATTTAATAATATGAGTTAAATGATATTTTAAAGTTGGGTTTGATGTAGTAAGTAAATATGAGTTAGATTCAACTTGTATTAAATATTTAAAGTTAAAGTCAATAAGATACAAAAAATAGTTGAGTGTCTATCAATACAATTTACCCTTATTTCTGGGTTTAGAAAATTGAGACGAAATTTCACCAACTATAAAAAATTAAAGGGTAAAATGATAATTTTGACTGTGAAATTATACATTGATATCATTTTGATACTTGGAAATTTTTATGGTTCAATTTAATCCCTAAATTTTCTAACATGATACATGTCGTCCCAGTTAGTTACAAAAAATTCATATGACATTCTAGAAACATGTAACGTGATACATAATATATGCTAAATCTAGAGTGTCACACGGCACATTGTATATGTTAAATCGAAAAGGTTTAAATAAAATCATTTAAAAAAACTTTAAGAACCTTTGAGAAAATATTTGATTTTCTTTATATTTTTTTTAAAATAAGGATTTATTATATTTTAATTTTATATGATTTTCTTAAGTTTTTTTTAAAATTTAATGTCATGTGTCACGTGACACGTTCCTAGAATGTCACATGAATTTTTTAAACGAGAAATTGAACTAAAATAATGTGCATCACACTTTAAAATTTTAAGGTTAAATTGAATTTATGTATCGAAATGATAATTAGATATAACTTCAAGGGTCAAAAAATGATTTAACCATTTGATAATAGAAAATTTTTCTCTCACCAACTTTTCCAAGTCAAGTCATAAACAGTACATGTGTTGCATATAATCTACGTTATTTTTCGTACACAAGAGAATAACATTTTTTTTAACATTCGATTTTAAGCTTTCGTCTTATTTAATTTGGATTGATTAGTATTGTATACTTAAATTTAGTAGGTGAGACTCTCGAAATAAATTTCTGCATATATAAAGACTCGAACTTGAGACCTTAATTAAGTAATATCAAACTGATTACCACTTAAATCAACTTCTATTAGTAGAATAACACTTTTTTAATTACCGAAACCACTTAATAAATTTAATCTTTTAAAAAATTAATTTCTCTTATAATTTATTAATATAAAAGTGTGAAATTATAAAATTTCAAGAGGCACGATTCCATCTTTGATACTCCCCAATTCATCTATGGGGGTAAAACTGAATCGGAAACTTAGTCAATCTTTAGGACAACCAAAACTCAATCGGAAACTCGATCAATCTTTAGGACATAACCAACGTTTTCCGACGTACGATTCCATCTCTGGTACTTCTCAATTCATCTCTGGGGTAAAGCCTAATCGAAAACTCGATCAATCTTTAGGACACAACCAATGTTTTCCGACATAAGAGAGATGTTGTTATCAATGTCGGATCCATCCTCAGGGGTGGACATTGAATTTTCTTCAGATAATTATCTGTTTTACTTGTAGTGTTCACCTTAAGATTTTATTTATATTTATCATGAACAAAAATATTTATATATACGTGTCCATCTTCAAAAATATTTCTAAATCGTTATATATATATATATATATATATATATATAATGCCATGCTTATTCAATCTTGTAGGTATGGTATTTAGATCTTTTTCATGGTAAGCCAAAATCTTTACCCACTATTAAAATCAATAAGGATCAAATTGAACTAAAATAAAGAATAAAGACCAAATATTATTCACTCAGTAAAATAAAAACATATTAACACAGTAAAGACCAGCAAATGCCATCTTTTCTTTCATCACTCTACTTATAATTGGGTTGCAAAAACACTGCTTTCATTTTACTTTTGCATCCTAGGCTCTTACCTATATTTTCTCGCCGAACCGAGCACGCAAAAGCGCAGACGCACCCGAGCCTAACCGGGTTAGTTTCGTATTTCACCGGCCGAACTACGACTTGTTATCCACGACCAGCAGACAGGCTTAAAAGGTTAGTTTTATCAATCCTACATACTTGAGAAACACGAAAAATTGATTCAGTGTGGAGTAGGGGACCTAATCCCATGCACTTATTACGCCGGGAGCATATGCTCCGCCGTAATCAGCAGGAACTCCGAATGCAGTACCACTACTTCCTCCGCCGTAGTAATCCAGGTTTTTACCGAACGACTCCTCCCGCCTGAAATCACAACCACCGAAACGCCCTCCGGATCGTCGATTCTTGTTACTACTATAGGGAGCCCGAGAGGCATAATGGGTGAGCCATGGAGGTACATCTTGATTTGCTTCTTGCATTAGCTCAGCTAGTGGCCTTGCCAGCGACAAATTGCTCTCGTCAAAGAAAGCTGTAGCCAACCCTGTTTTACCAGCACGCCCGGTCCTACCGATCCGGTGGACATAATCATCGATGTCGTTAGGAAGATCGAAGTTGACAACGTGAGCTACATGGGGTATATCGAGACCCCGAGCGGCCACATCAGTTGCTACTAAAATCGGGGTCTTCCCGCTCTTGAAAGATCTCAATGCTAGTTCCCTTTCCTGTATACAAGCAAACTCGCAGCAATATGTAAAGACATACTAACATAATGTAAACTCACTGAAACGGAAGTAATGCTCAATACAACAACTAGAAGAAGTACATCATTTCACACAAGTTCAAAGGCCTCATTCTTTCACTTCTCTTCAGCAAATTTATTTCTCAACAAATTACCTGTTGACTCCGATCACCATGGATCGTCGTCGATGGGAATCCATTAATGCACAGCCAGTGTTCCAATGAGTCGGCCCCTTTTTTTGTCTCCACGAAAACTAAAGTCAACGCTTGCTGCTATGTCAAAGACACAACTATTAGTTATCACGCCGGACAGAAATTTTTCATCAAACAAATACACCGAGTAATACAGTGACCAGATTCGATTGAAAGATATATGGATAAAGGAACATAAGCAAGTCCATACATGGTAGCCTTGCATTACCTTTCCATGCTCCCCATTTTCCCTCTGTGCATGCAGAAGATCCATGAGATGGCTTCTCTTATCCGACTCGGGAACAAATTCAACCCTTTGAACGATTAAATCCGTACTCGAGCCAACCCTCCCAACAGCCAAGAATATGTAATTCGAAAGAAAATCGGAAGCAAGCCTCTGCACGGTAACCATTTTTAAAAGGATTATGTACTAGTGGAATATGTCAGAAAATACAACTTCAACATTCAAATAACAGAAAGCATGGATCAACAAAAGAAACCATATTTAACAATCATAACCAACCTGTATCTCTCTTGGAAAGGTGGCACTAAACAACATTGTTTGCCTGACACCCCGATTCGGCATATCCATTTGTTCTACTATCTTCCTGATTTGTGGCTCAAACCCCATATCAAGCATGCGATCCGCCTCGTCAAGGGCCAAGTACCTAATCGACTGCAATGACACTCTAGCCCTCTCCAGCAAATCAACCAGTCGTCCTGGAGTTGCCACAAGAATATCGACTCCTCTCTCCAGCTCCCGCAACTATGGAACAAAACATTAGCAAACAAAGCCGAAATAAAGAGGAAACAATCAGAAATCAGATAAGAAAAAAAATCCATTAAAACATATAGTGAAAAGCCAAACAACATGACCAGATATAAAGACATAAACTTTAGAAAAATTAAATGCACCCGCCACCGACATATATACCTGTATCTGACAATACAATACACTCAAGTAACATATAACTAAAGTTCTAAAAAGCTAATATCCATATTAGCACAATTCAGCAAAATCACATCTTCAACACTGAATGCATCTAATTGGTTTATGAAACATACAGACTCCTTCCTTCCACACTCTTAATGAAGATGTTGAAATTAGACAAAAGCGACATCAAACTACATCACATTCGAAAAAAACCAAGAACTAGTTGAGTCAAAATCTAAATTGATATAAAATAGAACAGCTAAATGCATCAAGTAATATGGATTGAGAATTCTTTGTAAATCCCAAATTGATGCAATAACAACCTGCTGGTTAATCGGTGCTCCACCGTAGGCGACAACCACTTTGACACCGGTTTGATACGAGAACTTCTTGGCCTCATCGTGTATCTGAAAGTGTATTATCATTAGAACAAAGCCACATTAAACCATTCAAAGAGATTACATGTTTACAAGAACCTCACCTGACATGAAAGCTCCCTTGTGGGAGATAGAATGAGACCGAAGGGGTAAACGGTTCGTCCCCCTCGAGATCTCTGTCCGTACTGCTCCCGCATAATTCCACTAATAATAGGAAAGCAAAATGCAGCTGTCTTCCCTGACCCGGTTTGAGCACAAGCCATCAAATCTCTTCCGGCCAATGCGATGGGGATCGCATATCGCTGAACCGGAGTCGGTTTCGCATACTTACACCTCCTAATGTTTTGGTTCATCATTTCACCTAAATCTATCTCGGAAAACGTATTAACAGGCGGCGGCACATTCTCGCCGCTAATCTCCACCGGAATATCTTCGTATGCATCGAAATTGATCACGGTGTTCTCGTGTTCAGTAAAACCTTGTTTCATATACTCAACTTTATCATCGTTAACAAATGGGTTTAGCTCCCTTTCTCTCCTATCCCAGCCGCCACTTCGGTTATTCCTACCGCTGCCGCCGCCGTCTCTTCCGCCTGCAGCATAACCATTCCCCTGCATCTGACGCCCGTATTCAGGCTTAGTCCCAGTGTTCCCGCCCCGACGGGAACCACCAGCGGTATTGCCGCCAAAACTCGCCCTCTCAGTGGGTGGACCAGACGGCGTCGGCGCGTCGGAAAACGCGCTGTTGCGGAGGTGGGGAGGGACATAAGTGGGTCGAGCTGGACGAGGTACGAGATTGTTGGCAGAATCTGCCCATGAAGTTTTCATAATTCCTCAAAACTGATAAAAACCCAGGAAAAAGAAAAGAAAAATCCTAACAAAAAACCCAGTCAAACCTAAATTAAAAAAACCCAGAATTTGAAATCCTCTAAAATGCCTTCTTAGCCATCCACTTTTCCGAAAGATCACACTTAATCAAACAAAAAGAAAATCCAATTAATATAAGCAAAAAATATCCCCAAAAAAAATGGGAAAACAAGTAAGATTAGATTCTTGGCTGGCTGTCCTCTTTTCTTTTTATTTTCTTTGGATTTTCTAAGGCCTTGGATTGCAGCTCAGAAAAAACGAGAGAGTGTGAGAAAAAATCTACGAATCTTGGGTTGGTGACCGTACAAAATGGGGGGGCTTCCCTTCAAATTAAAATCATTACCCTAAATAATGGACCGTTGCCCTTTGCCGCCTTAAATATATGCATAAGTTAATAATAAGATTGTTAAACTAGGGTAATAGATTAATTTATATCTACCATACAACATAACTAAAATACATAACATATTTAAAATAAGATCCATATGAATCTATTAAGTGGCTTCAGTCGTAAAAGAAAATGTTATTCTCCTTAAAAGATTCAAGGTCGAATAATTACGTTGGTGAGATATATATATGTTGTCAATAGATTAAGAAAATTTATAAATATATATCACTCAATATGTTTGTATTGACCCTAAACCATTTAAAAAATATGGCCGATATATTTAAATATACTTGCTTGGTCTATCATGCACAAACCAAGTGATATTGGTAGTAAAAAAAATTATTGTTGTTATTTGAGATTTAGGGTCCAAGCACCAGAAACACTAGGGATGTAAGCATTAAATGTCAAATAATTAGGAATTTATCTTTGAACATATGCTACCTTATAATTACCTTATATTAATAAAAAAAATACTCCATATAAATTCAAGATGATATTTAATTTTCAAGTGGATTGTTAAACAAACAATTTTTATTATTATTTATTGAAATGTTATTGATATTGAGGTCTAATTTAAAATCCAAATATAATTGTACATGCTTGGTGCAATTAACTCATAAACTTATAAAATATTTAATTGCTTTTCTAAAAAAAACAGATAATTAGAACGGAATTTTGTTGGAAGCTTCTTTGTTTGGAACTCTATTTTTATATTTCCCGCTCTAATTCAAAATATTTTATTATTTTTATAAAAATAAATAACATATATGCTATAAAATCCCGTAAAATTTTAAATTATTTAATTAAAACATATAAAATAGTCCAAAATAATTATAAAACTAAAAGATATATATATATATATATATATATATATATATATATATATATATATATATATATATATATTAAATTAACCAACAGCAACCAGTAAAAAAATTCTTTTCTGCGAAACATTTATTTTAGATAATTTTCAATATATAAAACACAACCTTAATCTTTGGATAATTTTATTATTTAAACATTTTATTTAATAATGCTTACAAATAAGTTTATTTATTTTTTTGGTTTTTTAATATATTTATTTTGGAATATGCTAATAAAAACCCAAACTTGATCCCTTGAACACGTTGGGTAATTTAACAACTCCTTCAAATCAAAATTAACTGCTCAAGGAAGTGAAAATGTTAAGAGAATCCCATGTAATTTTACAGTCTGCAAGTGAGTCCTCATCAATAAAAAAGAAAATAACCACAAGTTGGAGCATGTTAAGGCTTTTAACTACAACTCTGGATCTATTTAAGACTCCAATAATTAAAGTAAAATGCAGGCTCGGTTTACGGAATCAACCTCATGAAAGAAACGATTCGCAGTTCGAGCTCGAGCCCAGTGTACTACTGTCCATCTAAGGTCGCAAGTGATTCTTTCAGCAGTCTTTGTGCTTCTTCTCGCCTCCTGGACAAGCAATGAAACAAAGTTTAAGCAAAGTAAATTCTGTCATTTGCTAGCGGGACAGATAGATCACGTGACGGCTTTCAACACAATGAGTTCTTGTCCCGTAAGACCAAAGAGAAGAAATTTCAACCATATACCAAAACTGGTAACGTTGAAATTTGGCGAGGGCATTGACAATGATAACATCTTATGACCCCATAGTTCCGAGGGGAATGCCTTGTCTCCGGTGAAAGGGAAATGCAATTAAGTTGATCAACGATAAGAGGATAATTCTTCTACATTCTCGGATTCATCCTAGGCCATTAAACATTATCGAAAGTATATGTAACCGAGGCATTATTGTAATCTTCATAATTATAGCAAAAGTTTCAGATAGGCATCGATGATAATATTTCGTATAATACTTCTAAGCAGCTCTTTCTTAAATGCACGCTCAAAGAACAAATTCTTCTTCATCGGAAAAAAATAGCTTGGAGCAGTTTCTCCGATATTTTTAGGAACATACCTCTTAATATCCTCCAGAGCCTCTTTACGGCGCTGTATCTGAAGTTCTAGAATGTGAATTAGTGTTGCTCTAGCCTGCAGTAACAAAATATAACCATAGAAGAACCAAATGAATTCAAAAGCATTAAACAAGCAGGGGGGGAAATATTCAGATAATGGTACAATGGTTTTTTTACCTGATGAGGACGCAATGAGTTCAGCAAGTGATGCAAGTTCTTGAATATAAGAGAGATCTCCTCCACTCGTCTTGCGTATTGTGATGGTCTCTCGACGAGAACATCCGCAAGCTCCAAAATGTGTAGTTGCAATTCTCTGTTAAGTGACCTCAATTCCTTCTTGAAATCTAGAAGTGGTTAGAATGTTCATCAATATGCATACCGGGAAAGAGAAAAAAGAAACGATCAGAGACTTGGATTATCCAAGGGTTCTATAGCCACATAAACACACAGAAAATAACATATTAAGTACTAAAAAAGTCACTCGAAAACAGCCTCCTAATTTCCACCTCATGAAATTAGATTATGCTCTAACATATTCTCGTCACTCATCATAATTTATAGAATGTTTGGATTTCCATAAGACCCCTTCCAAAAACTAATAGTGAAAAATATTAGCTTAGCTGAATGAAGCATAAAAAATCAACTATAACCAGCTAACAACCGTGAAAAGCAAGCTAACATGAACTCCATTCATCGATTTCGCAAAATCAAAAGGCAAGATATAAAAATTACCAATATTAGGTCCATTAGGGTAGAGCTGGCGAACCCCTTGGTCTTCCAAACTCGGAAGCACATCATCAGTCTACATCCAAAAGAAACAACATAAACAATTTAAAAACTGAAGTAAGTAATTTGAAAAATAAAATGAGAAAACTCACAGTGTAGTTGCCACCGAAGCAAACGTAAGTGCCTTCGATCGGCGGTGGAGGCTCTGGCGCTGATTTAGGGTTTTGTAAGTAATCTTTGTAGAGCCTGTAATACGGTGGTGGCGGCGGGTATGTAGCTGTAGCCATCTCTAGTCACCCCAACACTGAAGACAATCATCTTAAAGATTTTAACACAAATTCCAAATAAAACAAGAGCTTAGTAGCCGAGAGAACACTGAAAAAGTGGTGATTATTATTAGCCTGAACCAGAAGAAAAACCCAATAAGCCTATAATTTGCCCCGAGTAATTCTAAACCAAAGAGTTCCATTATCAACTTAATTTCCTTTCCCCTTTACCGGAGACATAAGCATTCCCCACTGAATTTTAAGGTCACGAAATCTTATCAACGTCACTGCCTTACTAAATGCACTTCCCAATTATCAACCTAACTAGATTAGGCTTATTTCGGGAGTTCCTTATCATAATTCACATAAATAAAGAGATATTTTTTCTTAATTTCCAGTTGAGTCGTAAACAAGAAACATAGAAGTATGCCGATAAGGTTTTCTATTTCTAGACAATTCGAAAACCTAAAACACATAAAAAGGCGAAAAAAACGCCGCCATCGACGGCTGAAGCACAAATTTTAAACGGAGAAATAAGAGTTACCTGGATGACGGAGATGCGATGGCGTTTCGCCGGCGAGTTTATTGATCTGAGATTTAAATCGGATAATGCAGTGGCCAGTGAGTGAAGGCTGAGGGTTCGATCTTGAGCTACCAGTGACTATATTAATAGGGGGAAAGTGGTAAATAAAATAATCTTTCGCTATGCTAGATAAAGAGGATGAAAATGTTCGTAATTTAATTTGGTCTTGAGATATTCCTTTTAGGTTTCATGCCAAATGAAATTTTGTTAAGTGCTTGTGTGGCCTCTCGCTAGTAAGGGCATCTCCAATGCTTCTCCATATTTGTAGCCATTGTGGAGAAAAAAATCCCTCCAGCCCATCGCCACATCTCTCGCTAAAATAACGAAACGTTACAGTTCGCGCCATATCTGACACGGTACTGTAGCATGCGTTATAATTTTTTTAATTCAAATAAATTAAATTACAAAATAAAAAATACATTAAAATTATATATATAAAAATACTAATTGTTTTGTAATTTTTATGATTTTTTGTATTTTTTATGATTTTTTTAAATTCAAGTAGATTAATTTGTAAGATAGATAAAAATATATTAAAATTAGATAAATAAACATACTAATTTTTTAAAACATACAAACTACAACAAACATAAAAACATAAAAAATACTAATAAAACTCGAACACCATTTTAACCAACAACTCAAACACAACAATTTAACTAATAATCAGACAAACCCCCTCCACTCCCTCCAAGATCATCAAAGTTCATTCCAACAATATATAATTATGTAACTCATGTTTTTTTCGCAATATTATTATGAAATGTAATTTTCTTATTTATTTATATTTCGCATTGCTATTTATGAATGTTTTATTTATGTTTTTTATCTTGATATTTATTAGAAATATATATGTTTTATTTTATATTTTTAAAATCAATATTATAATAGTTAAATATTATGAATAAAGTAGATTTAGTAGTAATATAGAGATAGCGCTGGAGTTGAATTACTGTTTCATCTTTACAGTAGAGATAGAGATGCCCTAGAGTAAAGATGAGCATTGGAGATGGCCTAAGACCATGAAAGGTACGAAATAGATGTATAAGTCCCATTTTGAGTTGAAATGTGTTTCACCTTGAGGAAAAGCGATACAGAGTGGTTATTATACCGCAGGAGCTGCGACAAGTTCGCGGATGGTTTGATCGGCCATTGATTTTGGGTGTTATACATCGTGTGTTGGATCAGCAATGGGTGTGTGATAGGCGTCGATTGGATGGGTGGAATGTGTGAAATTCGTCGATTCGTCGTATGTGGCTTCAGTTGAATCTTCGGAATTCGTCTGCTCTTGTTGTTTCTTTATTTTCTCCCGAAGTGTTTAACCGCTAATTTGTCTGGCTCGTACTTCGATTTTTAGATCAAATTCTTCTAATGTGTCTGGATTTTTCCTGGTCATAAATCAAAAAATAAGAAAATTAAATCAATAACTCGTCGTAGTCCCCGACAACAATGTCAATTTTGACATCATGTTATGATGTAAAAATAAAAATAACCTTAATTTCAAAATAATATTAAATAATGAATAATATAGAGAAAGTAAGGATCGATCCACAGAGACTATGAGACTGATGAATTTCTCGTTCTTGATTCTTATTTAGGCGTTCAATAAAGGGGTTTGATGAGAAATTGAAGTAATTAAAGATGAAAACAATTAAATAAATAAAAGAAAGTAAAAATAAAATTAAAGACGAAGATTCAATATGATTAAAATAGCCTTGGGCTAAAGCTTCTACCTTGATTCAAATCGATCATTGAATAGGATTTTACCTCCGGGCTCATGTCAGTTACAATCTATAGGGTCCAACCTCTATAACTTGTTTTTCTCTCAAATGAATCGAGAATCTAAAATCAATTTTTAGATCTCAACTCTTTTGTGAAACAATTGCGACAAACACTTACTAATTCAACGCTTTTAAGTTCTTGAAAAACTCGACTCTGATTCTATTGTCTCAATTGAGAATCTAACCTGATTTCAGCTTTCCTTAGCAGATTGTCGCTAAGTGTGTTCACAAGAAGTCGAATATTCCACAGGCCGATCATTACTCTCAACTATTAATCGAAACCGAAATTCAATTCTAACGTGCACTTTTTGAAATGAAATTGCTTTGATTGTAAAAGGATGGTCGATTACCGATCATTGATTTCTGAAAACTAAAAATGTAACCCTTGAGGGTATGATGTACTTTTCGATTCTCACTACTTAGAATCGAGTCATTGCTTCAGCCTTCGGCTACGGAAAACTTAACTAAGCATGGTAGAAACCATACTTAGCATTTTGAAAGAAAAATAAAATAAAAATTAGAAAGGAAAATAGGAAAAAAAAACTTAATTAAACTAAGAGAGAAGAAACAAGAGTTGAAAAATGAATTATGAATGATCGAGTTGATATTTGAGGCTTACCCCAATAGGATATTTATAGTCCTCAAAAACCCTAAAAGATAACATTTAAAACTAAAAAGATACTTCGTAAAATAAAAATAAAATAAATCCTAATTTGAATTCAAAAATCCGGCTGAGTCTTTGGTCTTCACGCCATTGCTGACTGACCCTTCTAGAAGCTACTGACTGGATGTAACGTCAACGATGTCATGCCCACTGCTCTTGTCATGAATCAAGAAAATAAAAATTGCACAATTTCATTAGTTTTAGTATAATTTCCAGAATTCAATATCTTGTATCGAAAATGAGCGAAAAAGGGGCAAGTTAGCAACTTAAAATAGCTAATAAAGGAGTAATTGATCATAAAATAATGTATAATTTAAGTACTCAACGTGCAAAGCTGAGTGGTATCTGGTGAAGTTTACCCAAAATATTATTAGGTGGAATAGATATGAAGAATTAAATATTATGAATTTGATACCATGATGGTGACCCTATTTTAGTCACACATGAAAGCTCATGGGATCGTGAGAACCAAGGCTCCAACAATGATCCGAATAGTGATGAACCTACGAGTTACTAGCGTGTAAGGATTGTCGATGTAATAATGAAAGGTAATAACAAATGTAAAACGATAATAAATTAAAGACTTAACGTGAAAAAAATCTTTTCAATCAAAAATCACTATATCAAAAAAAGATAATTTAAACAAGTTACTTTTAAACGCTATTACCTAATGAACATTTATAGAAATAAATTCCTTGTCTATATAAAAAAACTTGCGTAGAAAGGAATCTACTTAAATTGAGCCTTCAAAGGAAGGAAAATAGAGTTTGTTGAAAATTAAAGAACAAGTTGGGCTGCTAAGTAGCAGCCGGCTGCTAAAACAAATTGGGGAGGAGGCTGCCCAAAATATTTTTATTTTTAATTATAATATTAGTTCCTAAGTTTTAACTATAAATACCCTAGCTCATTTAGCTTCAAAATCATCACAAAATCTTCCAGTTCTCTCTCAAGTGTGTTTTATATACACTTGTAATTTTTCTCTTCAGTAAAAGATCTGCAGCAGTCCGGAGACGTAAGCACAATTGGCTGAACTCCGTTATCAATTTTTCGGGTATTATTTTTCCGCTTTTATTTCGTATTCTCACTAATCTGGCTATAGGAAAATTACTTGTTCTCGTTATATTTCCTAACAACTGGTATCATGAGCTTTTGGTTGTAAATTTTGTCAATTTTTCTGTGAGGTTACTATTTACGTGAATAGTGGATTTCATGAATAGTGAAATTTTGTCGGCGATACGAATTTGTCGACGGAGGTGTTCAAATACACGGCGGTTCGCAGAAATTATCAAAAACGATTCAAAGAAGCCTGATTCGAGTGGGAGCGATGACTGCAGACGAAGGGAATGTGAAAATTGAAAAGTTCGATGGTGCGGACTTTGGCTTTTGGAAGATGCAGATCGAAGATTTTCTGTACCAAAAAAATCTATATCAACCCCTCTCAGGAAAGCAACCAGAGGGCATGAAGGATGAAGATTGGGCTCTTCTCGACAGACAAGCCCTCGGAGTTATCCGACTGACGTTATCCCGCAATGTTGCTTTCAACATAGCAAAGGAAAAGACCACGACGGGTCTTATGGCGGCTCTCTCTAGTATGTATGAGAAGCCATCGGCCTCAAACAAAGTTCATTTGATGAGGCGATTATTCAATTTGCGGATGACGGAAGGGGCATCGGTGGCACAACACCTAAATGAACTCAACACAATCACAACCCAGTTGAGTTCAGTGGAAATTAAGTTCGATGATGAAGTTCGAGCTTTAATTCTCTTATCATCTCTACCAGACAGTTGGAATGCTACTGTTACAGCAGTCAGCAGCTCGTTGGGAAACAGCAAATTGAAATTCGACTATGTTCGGGATCTGGTATTGAGTGAAGAAATTTGACGGAGAGAATCGGGTGAAACATCAACCTCCTCAGCCTTGCACACGGAGTCTAGAGGAAGAACTTCAGAAAGATATTCAAATCATGGCAGATCAAAATCCAGACGGGAAAAATCCAGAACGGGAAAGAAAGATTTTACCTGTTATAATTGTGGCAAGAAAGGTCACTTTAAAAGAGATTGACGAGCACTGAAGAAAGATACCGGTGCACAGGAATCTGTAAACGTGACAGAGGAGACAGGTGATGCCATGATTCTAAGCGTCAACAGTCCGATTGAATCATGGATCTTGGATTCAAGGGCATCTTTCCACTCCACCCCATGCCAAGAAATCATGGAGAACTATGTTAGTAGTGATTTTGGGAAGGTTCATCTTGCTGATGATGAAACCTTGAAGATCGTCGGAAAAGGAGATATCCGACTAAAGCTGCCAAACCAGACCACCTGGAAGCTGACAGGAGTGAGACATATTCCTGGCCTCAAAAGAAATCTGATTTCTGTTGGACAGCTTGATGGAGAAGGATATAGTACAACCTTTTCAGGCTGTGAATGGAAGATTACCAAAGGAGCACTCGTCATTGCTCGTGGTAAGAAGACTGATACTCTCTATGTAACCTCAAATTTAGAGAATATCATTGCAGTAGCAGATGCTGATGAAAAATCAAACCTATGGCACCAAAGGCTTGGCCATATGAGCGAGAAAGGGATGAAGACACTTTTGTCAAAAGGTAAGCTGCCGGATCTAAAGAATGTAGATGTCGGACTATGCGAGGATTGCATCTTTGGCAAATAAAAGAAAGTCAGTTTTGCAAAGATTGGCCAGACACCCAAGGCAGAAAGG